ACGTATTTCTTTGTTCTCAATAAATTATTGGAACTATTACTAGATACAGTTTTTTTAATGCTTATAAATGTATATTTGTATATTAGTGCTAGTTAATCACCAGTTGCTTAAACTAATGGGACGTTTTTTTACGGAAGGCACAGCTACCAGAACATTCTCCCTCGCAATGCGAGCCACAGAGGACCCTAGCTCTATAATCACGTCCATGCCTTTCTCAGACTCAGATACGCGGTTCCCGCACCTAGTATCCTCTACAAGAGACCAGCAACATCCTCCATTGGTCAGTAATAGTGCATCTTGTTTAGTCTCTAGGATGACTAGTCATTAACTTGTTTATGCTCTGAGAGCCCATATCTGCTTACTACACATCTCTGGTTAACATGCCACTAGATAAAGAGATAAATGTATTATGACAAGAAGAATTTCACTGAGCAGTGCGCCAGTGTCTGTCAAGGTCTCCTATCTCTTACTTGACAGAAATAATTAAAGTGTAGAGGAGATCAGACCTCCTGTGTCTAGCATTCCCCCGCAAATTGAAACAGTAATGAGTTATCAACGTTTCGCTGATGTTCTGAGCAGTGTTTGTGAAGATTGTCACGTCGTGCAGCTAACTTTGTCTATCCCTCAGATATTTCACCGAACTTATTTATCTCTTCACTTTCCTCTGCAAATACCAGACAGTGTTCCCAAGGGGATGTTTGTCTCTGTTATTGTAGTAATAAAATCTGTTATTTAAACTGTTAATGTTTGGATTTTCTCTCTTCCCTTCTAGTGAACGTGATTAATCGAAAAGGAGGCACCTTCTGAGTTTTCTTTTGTGACTCAAATTGAAAATCAAGGTTTTCTTTTGTTTCTAATTTCTGGCTTTATGCTTCACACTGGGAGGCTGTTGATTTTTTGTCTGTATTTTGTTTTAAGCAAAAGGATTACAGCATTTCAGTGTTTCCTCTGAGTACCTCTGACACGGTACCAATTGGCTTCGCATGCCAATCTGGAGATAAACCTTTTAAATTGCCTAGTTTACGACAACAAACAAACCTAACATACAATTATGGCACTACACAGCCATAAATCAAGTGATTTATTTCCCACAGAAATGCACAGTCTGCACAAGCCAACAACAAATCAATACAATAGAATAACACACAATCATTACTGGCATAAAATCTTCTTATAAAAAAAAAATAACTTCTAGGTTCCTCTACACTGCTTAACGAACAAAAAACCAAATAATTTTCCTACACTGCCAATATGGGAAGCCAAGAACCTTGACACACCATTGAAACCTCGATGCCAAATACACAGTTGTGTGTGGTTTGTTTGGATAATTTGTTCTAGACTAAATGATGTACCAGATACAGTTTCACTCAAAATAGCTGGAAATGGCAAAAAAAACACATAAAATGACATCATCCAAGGAAGTATAGTAGCTGATAAAAATACACTAACCTTTTAAATGAAATTGTCAGCTTTAAGCACAATTGACTCGATATCCCTCAGGAGAATAGAAAAGACCAGGAGAGGTAAATATTTTTTCTTTTTTGAGTAAAATACCAGCCCAAGTTACCATGGCCCATCTGTCATCATAATAGTTATCACATCATGTCTCACTGTTTACTTTCATTCAACACTGCTTATTTCTACAGATTCCTTTTCACTTTTAAATAAAGTGATATTCAGAAATACTCAACCCTCCGAATAGAGACTGGGTGATTTTACATTAAATTTCAAAGATATTTTTAGACTATAACTAATGATGACATAAATTTTGTAATTCTTTGACCAGACAGATCTTGACTCTTTCTCTTGTTTGTTCTAAGCTGTTCTCTTTCCAGGAACAGTCATGCCGGTAATGGGAGACACTGTTCTGGAGCTTCTGAAACTGAAGTTTTGGCTTTGGAGCAAACAACCATAGAAACAAGCTCTTCAGGGACCTTTGGTGTTGGGTGTGCATAGGCATTTCACGCATGTGGACAGCAGTTGCCCTGAGTCATGTGACCGTGAGTCATGTGACCTACTGATATAAATTTGCTGAACCATGTATTTAAAAAGCATGAAAGCACACGATGCTACACCTGCAACTGGAAAGCATGCTTTATGCGAGTCGTTCATTCCCTCACAAAAACTGGAGTCAGCCAATCTTATTTTAAAAAGTAACAAACACATAAATCTCATTTCTCTCCTTTCTCATAAGCTTTTACATACTTAAACAGTGATAATAACTGGCAAAAACTAATGCATGAAAGTCACACAAAGCAGACTTTTATTACCTTTTTTCCATCAAAAGTAAAAATATTTATCTACATAAAACGATGTGCTGAAATGAATTCATAAATGTGTTAACTTCCAACAGTACACATCGCACATCGTCTATATTCTTAAAGCAATTAAACATAAAAGAAAACATCTGACGTCCGTAACCGGAAATGTTATTTTTTCTGAAATTTGACTTTGGCTTAGAGGGAGAGTCCAGGTTTGTGGTTTCAATTTTAATAATTTCATTTGACAATTATTATTTTTTTCCTTGGGCGTTTAACCATGTTTTTACAACTGGTGCTCATCAGGGGGGAGGGGGAGGGTATTTCTGCCAGGAATTTCTGCTCTGGTCACATTCCCGAGGACCATTCCTCTACTGTGTTTCAGTCTTGGCTCTGTCCTCTCCTGATCTTTGCAAACGAATTCCCTTAGGTTCATACTTTCTGGCTGCTTCTGTACCACCTCCATTGAATGGAAGTCTTTGGGTGACATTAAAGCTTCAATACAGTGGAGATAATAAGATCCTTCTCTTCACAGCCTGGTGGGACCACTGTACATCTCGGTGTGTTTGCCAGATGTTTCTTAAACCTTTCACAGTGCATCTAAGTCACGCAAATATGTGCTGCAATGAGTTCTATGCATGTCTTTCAGTATCAAAAGAGACATCTTGCTTGTTGTACTCATCGATAAATGTTATGGGGGAGCATGAAGACTTACAGACAAATTTAAATAGAAATTAAATACAAATCACACCAGCAATAAAAGAATCACATGGGGTCAAAACAAAAGCAGATGGGGTATAAGAAGTAAATGAGTGGTAGCCCTAACAATTAAGGTGACACCGAGGACTCAGGGACACAGAACACTAACTAGAGTCCAAAACACAGGCAACACAGACAAGCAAACACACATAGGAACAGAACAGAAAGCTACACCTAATGAAAAACAGGGGAAAAAACGAGATGGCCAGCGACACCTGCTGGCCAAACGGGGAACAGGAAAATGCTGGGACCAGTCGTGACAGATAAACTTCTCGAACATTGCTGTTGCAGAACCTTTAACGGAACAATAAACACCCTTCCCCTGGACTTTAACCTATATCAGAACCCTTCAGGATGTTACTATGGAGAAATCATCTGAGCCTCATCAACCATGCAGCATGTGACATTTTCTAGTTAGTTTACTCCTTTAATTTGGTTCTGCAATCTCTTGCTAACTTGCAGATCTGTTCTAAGCCTTACACATGATGAGATTCATCTCGATTTCACGTGGAATAGCATGTAGGAGGGTTAGGAGTGGAGCTCTGTTACTGATGGAACCCAGACCATTAAAAAATGGATCTGAAAAAGCTCTGATATATAGAACAAATAAGATAAAAGCAGAATGCAGAAGCACTCCAACAGAAGACATAAAGACAGACGTGTTCCAGGCCTGCTCTGAAACAGTACAGCAAAATTGAAAATTAATGAGAAAAGGAATTGAAGTACAGGGCTAGACACTTCACCTCATTTCTCCGTCTGCAAGGGGAGAGCAAAAAAAATGGAGAATTCAGTCAAATATTTGCAGCAGAAAAAGATCTGATTCAACTCCAAAAACCTGCCTTTTTTATAACCCAAGCACATCATGCTCCGTGCTTGAGGCAGATTCGAGTCAAACCTGATCAGGACTTTGGGTTTCCTATAAAGCCTGTTACTGAGTTTTTTCTTATTTGGGGTACTGCTGTTCTCTTGATTAACAGTGCTCAGCGCCATTCTGCGGGAATTGTCCGGTGGGCTTTATAGGAAATTGTCGGTCTGTTGTTTAAATCAGGCATTTCCTCTGCACAGCTGGGTCCATTATTTTGCATTCTTTTCAACACCTGGTTCATGACCAAAAATGCACTGAAGGGCCAATGCAGAATACCTAATAAGTCCATCCATCTACTTTCCAGCTGCTTAACCTGGTCAAGGTTGTGGGTAGGTCTGGAGGCTATCCCAATCAGCACAGGGCACAAGACACAGATATACCATTTTCACCATTATGATCTGGCATCATATATAAAAGGTATGTCTGCTATAAATGGGACAATATGTTTATGTATTTCTCATAGACTGAGACTGCAAGTGATGCCTGATGATGAGCTCAGACCAAACCGTAGGTTCCCTCTATGGTTTCCATTTACCAGGGGCGCAGGCCTGGAAAACATTGCTAAAGCACATCACCAGTCATTGTCAGCCTCTTGTGAAAGAATATTCATAAGGGTTCAATCCCACTTTCATCTGATGTCTGGGCCAACTCTTTTAAGTTACCCAGAAGTCACTAAAGGGAAGGCCCATAACCGTGAGACCTCTGAATTGTCTTTTTTTTTCCAGTGCTCTAAATCTCACCGTGACAGGTCCACAGTGATCGTGAGCGGGCTGCACGTTTCCATTATTGGTGCAAGAACCATTCAAGAACCTAAAACCAAAGGCGATGGAAGCGGAAATCCCACTGCATGCACCTGCGGCTGATTCTCCAATCCCTCATCCGTGTGTCTCAAGTTTGCGTTTCACGAGACTAAACACAACGTCTGCCAAATACCGTCTGCACTTGTGTAGCGCGGAAAAATGATTTTTTTTCTGTGTTTTTTTTTTTTTGAGTTTGGCTCCACTGGTTGCAAACTGCAGTCATAGCCTTGGGCACCACATATGCCACAGTTCTGCAGTCCAGCGATGTATTTTTCAAAGCGCAGCATTTCCATAGTCAATGGAAGTAGAAAAACTTACTCGTTTTTTTCCAGGGTGAGGAGCAGCTGCTGGCCCTCAGCTTCAATCAATAACTTCAGTGACGGCGGGTGACTCTGCAGGTGGAACAGAACCATCCAGAACGATCACATGACAGGAAGCACGCAGGCAGGAAGGATGACAGCCTTTGAAGATAACGGCTTTTTCTTCGTGCACGAGAAGCATATTCACTGTCTGTGCAAGTCCAGCCATTTTTTTGAGGATGATCTGTGGTCTGTTTCATATTTGATGATAGATACTCATTTTATTAATCGAGATTAGGCATCTACAGTACAGTCAGTAATGAGATACAAATATACTAATATACAAATCATGCATAAAATCCATTAATGGTTAATGAAATTTATGATATTTAGCAGACACTTTTATCCAAAGTGTGGCCAGAAAGTCACTGGAGCAACTGGAGCATGAAGGCGTCACTCAAGGACTCAACAGCAAACTCACCTGTGAATTTGAACCAATGACCTTCTCATTATAGATCCAGCATCTTAACTCACTGAACCACATACTACCCACATGCTGTCCCATAATTTAGATAAAAATGCAATTTTGGCTTAATTTATTTATTAATTTGTTGGTTCGATAACTTATTCGAGCATAAACACGTGCACGGAGAATATTTCTGGCTTTTCGGTGTCTAGACGGGAGTTTAAGAGATTAAGTATCGTCAATCTTGCTATTTCTCCAAACACGTACATCTGCCCAAGGGACACTGGAGGCGGCTAACGGTTTAACCATTCAGTTTTATCCCCATTTACGGTGGGCTATGAAACACGCTGCAGGAGACCCAGGGCAAAAGGCTTGAGACATCAGAGCGTCCAGTTAGACCTGGGCTGTGGTGGTGTCCTACACGCTTGGGGAGCTTTGGGTGAGGAAGAACATGAATATCTGTGTCGTTGTTTTTGTATAACATCACCAGAGGCTATCAATCTGTTCCTCTCTGTCAGATAAGAAAAAAAGTGAACCGGAAATCCAATCATTCCCAGCATCAAACCATAAACAGTTCAATCTACTTGTGCTACCCAGGCAAAAGAAAAATATTATACTTACAGCACAAAGACAACCGGATCTTCTTTTGTCATTTGAATCATAATACCTGTAAAGTTACGTTAATCAGCATGTACTCTGGCTACAGAAATACATATAATTATTGGCCTAGTTATGTAAATGCAGCTCCCACTAAATCATAATAACATATGTGTGGCATTTAAGTTAAACTAGACTATCAGCATGTGCTTGATACATTTCCCCCCAAAATATCTATCAAAACAAACTATTTAGCATTTTAGTAAATCACTAAATGGCTGTACAGTATATTTTCCTATAGGCATATTCATAGTAAGTGTAAATTCTGTCGGGCGCATTAGAAATTCATTTAGCAGAGTCAGTGTGTTTTACTGGAACGCATTCAGTGATTCTCAGATAGCATTTTTTCCCTCCGGTCAGAGCGTGAAGAGTATTTAAGGAAAGACGGCTGCTTGCAAAGCTCAAAAAGTGAAACTCACTATTTTCCAGAGCTCTAATTCTGATAGCCAGGAAAAACTATTTCACACTGGAGGGTAATTTTTCTTGGAAAGCCCAGCCTCCGTCTTAAGTACTGGTAGAAGTGCACTACACCCATTTTCCTAATGTCTGGCGCATACACACGCTACATACAGACTGACGCTGAAATTCAAACATTGCATTAATGTTCCAGCCGAATGAACGACATGTCCAGAGCAACAACCCATTTCACTTACAAACCTCATGCTCAATTTGTAAAATGCACAAAGGGACATGAATGCTGAAGAGATACATTCTGGAGTATACAACCATAGTCAAACGCTACAAAGGGAAGGACATTCCATTACGGCTAAAATGAAAGTAATAATGTTCCCAGTATGTAGCAATCAGTCGATGATGCTATTGCTTATTCATCTTTCAATCATCCACTTTCATTTTCAGTCTTTTTTTCCAGTATTTATCCCTTCAGATGCATCACGATATAATCCCTATGCATTGGTGATTTGTGCAGTGTGTGGACCTGGAGGGTGTGGGGAATTACTTGTGAGTTTTTATAATCCTGTGGCTTCCGGATCTGGTGCAGCCAGTGCCCGAGCTATTGATGGGACATGCCAGCATCAAATGCTGCACCAGGGACTAATGAAGGCTAAGCCAAACGCATCCAACAATCGGAGCTTTGGACTAAAACGGCACTTTTAGCTGCGCCTGACAATAAAGATCCCAGTGGATGTTCTTCTACCAATTAATGCTATTGTTCACTTTGACTGCACTGGGTATTATTTCACAGTATCACTGTCGTTTGCTCATAATTGTGGATGCAGTAGCGTAGTTATTAAAAATGTATTGAAGATAAAGGCATAGGAACAGAACAGAAAGCTAACCCGAGCACCCCCATCCCTCCCCTTGGGGGATTGTGTTGTTTTTGGCTAGTATGGGAAGAGCGAGTGTAAATGCATTGTGCTCAGACACACAGATATTTACCATAGACTGGAGATGGCTGAGGGGTCTGAGTTCTCCATCCTGCAGCAGGAAAGGCACCGTAGTCGGTAAGTTTTCCAGTTTTCCGGATGTGCGTCGCTGCTTCGCACCATCGAGTCGATCCCCTGTTGAGCAGAGCAGTAAAAGCCGTTTGGACTGAGAGGAGACTTAGACTTACGTGTGACCTTGCAGACTGTGAAATTAGACTGACAATTTTTATTCTACTCGCTGGGATTTTTTTCAGATCAGCAGCGACAAGATTTCACCAGCCGTGCAGCCCTGAAAGACTCTCTCTCCGTCGATTAACAGCTCACTACTCTTCTCTCGATCAAAGAAATACAGAAATTCAGATGTCAAACATGGTCAAACTGTACGCCTGCTAAATCCATTCATTTGGTATCTAAAATGCATCCCATTTAAAGCAAAACATACAGGTTTACGTCCTTTATTCATGTTTTGGCGGCTTAACATATGTTTAATCCTTCCAGCCATACCAGCTGCTCTTCAGACTAGGTCACCCATCTGAGGCTAAGCAGGATTTGGGGCTGACCTGGCCATCTTTTGAAAGAGTAGGAGCAGTACCCTGATGCCCTCTCTAAAATTGCCCGCTGTGGCCCTTTCAGGTGTAGCCTCCTAATCATCCCCTATAACCGACTGGTGAATTCTCTCCTTCCCCTTTACTACCTGAGCTACTGTGTGCTGAGAGTATTGGTGCAGAATGGCTGCCGTTGCATCATGCAGGTGGGGGCCACAGTGCTGGTGGTTGAAGTGTCTCCCCATTACTTTTGTAAAGTGCTTTGGGTGCCTTGAAAAGTGCTTTATAAATGCAACATTTATTCAACTCTTGCAAGTTTCAAAGGCCAAGCAGGCCACAAAATTACAGCACTCTTTCTGTCTAATCTATTCACCTTCCATGGCTGCTTTTCCAGTAGAAGGTAACACAGACTGGAACGTATCCCTGGAAGTTCTAGGCAAAGGATACCCTACAAAGGACACCAATCCACTGAATGGCGCCCCCTCACATACTGATTTAGAGACACCAACTTATCTCGCCGCATGATTTTGGAATGCAGGAAGACAGCAGAGCTTGAGCTGGAGGCCCACACAAACGGGGGTGAAGATGTAAACTCCACACAGATATCAGGGGCAGGATTCAAATCCCCATTACAAGCCATTGTGAAGCTACAGTGCTTTCATATGAGCCACAATGGCACCCTTTCACACAACTGCATGTATTACTGAACTAATTCAGTTTCAGTTGCTCACTCGGTGCTAAAAATGCTGGACTCAAACCATCAATGCCTTCACAAGTCAAAAATCCAGGCCCACTACCACGAATCTGAGTCCCTACCCTTGACTTCTCTCTATGTCAGTGCCATGCTTTAGATCCCTGTCTTACCACGCTGCCAAGACCATAGAAAGCAGGGGGTATCTAAGATGCTCCAAACACTTTGTTTCATTTTATATGTGTGCAGAAGCCACTGGGAAGACTGCAGATGGACATGAACCTTCTGCTGAGGGCTCCTGCCAGGTTCCCTTGACCTACTTCCTTCCATATCTTCCCCTCAAACCACAAGACAGGTCCGCTTAAAAACTGGCTACGCAGCTTGTGCTCTCTAACAACATTCAGCAATAAAAGCCTCTTCAAGATTCTGTTTTGGGTGACAGTTCTGCAGCCAAATTTAACACAGACTAAATGGAAAACAGTCCACAAACCATCTAGCTTGTCACTGGCACCCCAGAGTTTAATTTTCTCACAGTGAGGTATTCTTAACTTTTTTTTGAGTATCTGTCTTTCCGAGCCGGGAAGTAGGATTTCAGCTGACTTGGTATTTTCCGCATCCCGTATGTCCGTATGTGTCTGCCGAGTGAAAAGGCAATAAAAAAATGAACAAAGGATGAGATTTTACTCTTTAACAGCATTTATGAGAATGTCATATCCTCCAAACTGCATATGCATTATCTGAAAGTCAAAGAGCAGGCTTGTTGTCTGACCTCTCACAGTGCAATATACCTGCAGTATAAAGGCAGTATCTGAGCACATTCTTATCATTCCTGATGTATAAACATGGCTTCCACCTTCCACCTTCCGGCATACTCCAGGCATCTGCCCTATCCCGTGTCTCTCCAGATCCAGTTTGCCCAGGTCCACTCAGCTTTCATTCCATGTGGTGCAAACCCTCCACAGAGTCATCACTGAGTCTGTTTGGCCGAGAGCTGATCCAGGGTCAGTCAGTCCAGGTCATGACTGGACCCAAATGCCAAGAAAGAACTGTGTGGGAGAGCAGAACTAGCATCCGCTATCAAATTGGCTACGTCTCTCTTCACGGAAAGAAAACTCAATTGTCGGGTGTTCAGGCTTGGGATTACTCATGAACTGAACTGACCCACAAAACCATGTTTTTACCATATTAAGAAGAGCATGTCAGACTGTATGATTTGGTGTGAACATTGCTCTCCATGTCCTCATCTGTGCCACAGATTAATTGTCTACATTTTTCTATGTGGTGTGATTTCAATCTGCTTTGAAGATCAGGCAGACGACAACACATTTGTTATCCCAACATCCAAGAGTTTAAAGCATGACATCATGCATAACAACTAGTACTTCTCAGTGGTTAATGTTGCCACTATTGTAAAAGTGGACCTCAGATCTCATGATTCAACGGTAGTTTGCTAACTTTGGTACTATGTGGTAGGAAAAAGCAAAGGCTAATTGTAAAGTGGCTGTTTAATAGAAGCCACAGACTGTAACTTGGGTATAATAAAATGTATCATGGATTCAAGTTTTTAATAAAGATTTCAACAAGGCTGATTCATTCCCTCACTGGCACAGCAGCTCTAGTTGACTGATTTATTACGTTCGCACAAAGAAAAATGTGTATTTTATAAATTTAAAACACAGAAGGAACTTATATAACAACTTGTCCCTTGTTGCTCTTTCAGAAGATGAAGAATCAATGTTTCTCTTCCATGGGAAATCAGACTGTTTTGCCGTCATTTGGGGAATTTTGAATATGCACCCAAAAGCCACAGGCCCTATCCTATATCTCATAACTCAAAGAAAACGCCACTCTACAAGTGTGACGAATGACATCCCAATCACCCTAGAGTTTAGTAGCAATGACCAGAAATTCAGTTCTGGCAGGACTTGTACATTACGACTCAAAATTAACGTTAGTTGCCTTGGCTTTCGCCAAGAGAACAATACTAATAAATGGAAAAAGCTAAATATCAACTCAGTACATCACTATGGGTGTATTTTAATTACAGAATTTGCATTGCTTGAAAAAATGGCAGCCTCCTCAAAAAATAAACTGGAATATGTTCCGCAATCCTGGGTACTCATCTCTGTTCTAAATCACCCTGTGAGGTAATGCCATTTTGTTTTAATTTTCTGATCTGCCATTAAAGTCCACACTTTTACTATTACTAACATTAATAATATTAATTCTCCATTTCTGTGTATAATTACTGACACAATTTGATAACCCTCCCCCTGTGTAAGTATGATTTAATTTTCACTTAGTCACTGATCATTACTGGTTATCTAGCCTCTGTGTGAAAATGTGTGCATGTGTGTTCATTGATCGCTCTGTTTACTATCCACATTTGACAGATTGGCTCCTCAGCAACTCTGAACAGGAGTAACTGATAGAACTAACCAAGGTCTTCCCTCCTCTGGCCCTCACTGCAATCTGCATACGCTGATTTTAGATCCAGCTTAGTTAAGCTTGACTACAGCTTAGTTCATAATTAAGCTTGACTAAGATGCATAGTGAAAGAACACACTAGTTTAGGACTTAGTGAAACTTAATTGCTCGTAAAATTAGGCTGATAAAAAATGTCTCATTAATATTTTTGAACGTTTATGAGATATTCAATGGAATATTTATTTTATTACTCTTTTCATGTCCTATGTCAACAATCATATAATCACTCAGTCTCAATTATTTAATAATGAATCAGTCTTAAGGGACAAAAATAAAGACATTAGAAACAATCTTTCTGTTCATTGTTAACGTTTGTTTAAATATTGTAATGACTACCAAGGTTGGAAATGCTTCACTAAGAAAAGTTCAGGCCAGGATAAGAATTTTTGCATCAACCAACAGCGAGTGAGAGGCAGCAGGAAGCATGACGGCGACGACTGTCGACTGCATGGAAGAATAAACGACGGGAAAAAGCTGCCTTCCCTCACCTTTCTCCTGTCCAGCGAGGAGAAGCAGCTCTGAAATCTGTGTGACAAAATAGGCCTTAATGAGGATGCACAGATGCATTGTGGGAGTTGAGATGGATGGGGCCACACCGTCACAGAACAATTCAAAACAGCCATGGGAGGGCACTCAGTCAGCCCCACGGACCAAGTGGTTGAGGTGCAGCCCAGGAAGTGGCCAATTTGCCTTAATGGTTATTGCCATCACTTCTGTAGGCAGAGGTAACCCTCTGGAGGATGTAGGCATTTTCCTAGTCCACCAAAGAACTGAATTGTCCAGTTCATACACTCATCTGTTTTTAAAAATTGCAGCCTTGGTTTAAAAGGAAGCTTCAATAAGGAACAACTATTTCACAGCGACCCACTGTAAAGCACTTTTTTATTGCAAATGCTTCTGTAACATCAATAAAACTTCTGTTTCGCAGAATCTCCTTCCATTTGCTTCCTATTGCTTTACTCGTCTTTACAGCTATAAACCACCAAACACAAAACCTTATTTCGGATCAACAAGCAATGACACCAACCTGTTGGAGAGGGCAGCTCTGAGTTAGACGCCGTCAAACCCTTTAAATCAATTAAAAAAGACGTTACAATCAGCCTTTCCACTGAGACCCATTACAGGGTTGGACCACTTGTGGACACCCATTAGCACAGGGGACTGGGTATACAGATTGAGTTTAATTGTTTCAGCAGCATTTCCTGAAACTCAATTTATGGAAATGGAAATTGGTAACGGTAATTCTCCATTTTGTGCCCTCCCATCAAGGGACATATCCCTACCAATATTGCGGGGGTACCGTGTGTGTTTAGGGGGGTGAGGGGGTTTGGGGTCGATTTGGTCCAAAACTACAGCCTTGCCTCCCACTGGGAAATTAATTGGTCACAGCTCTGTTACACAAAATCCGATTT